CCGCACCACATGTTCCGAGTGAGAACCGTGGCGTATACAGCCTTGCATTTCGGGTAGGACACTACCGGAATCTGAACATCCATTAACCTTTCTGGTATTGATGATGCACCATCCTGTTAAAAATTTGTGCAATTTTAACGTCACGAAATCTGAAAATGACCTATGTACGGGAGTACTTATCGTTCGAAACTGTGTTCGATCGCGTTATCGTACATTCTTTTTTTTGTTTTAGCCCCGATCAAAATTCAAATTTGTAGGTTATCCATAATGAGAAAATGATTCGATAGTACGGCCCCTGCAATTACCTATTAATTATTTCTTAAATCTCAATTACCTAAAGAAATTCGTGATCAAATCAATACTAAAAATATCAAAATCATACTCATAAGATATTTTTCAATACACACAGATACATAATGTTCAGACACTAATTTTTGTCATAAAATTTTACTCCATAACTGATGTCTATTTACATATAGTAATAAAACATATTATTTATAAATACTACATATACTATAAAATATATACATTTAAAATTAAATTTATTCATTACTTAATGTGCTAACATTTGTTTTTGGGGAATCCTGTACACTTGTTAACAAACCGGTTTCTGGACGGTTCGCTCAGTGTCTAGTTGAATAATAAAATACTTTGCCGTCTTCACTGTTGTACAAATGTATGCCTCCAAATAAAGATAAAAACAATGTCTACCTACTTATAAGATTTTTTTTATATTTTGTATTGGTTTGTTCGTAGCAAGGAATGAATGGCATCGAGACAAACCCAAGTAGGGTTTAACCGTGTTTTACATTATTTATGTATACTTTTTTCTTAAAACAATAAAATAAATAAAAAAAAGATATGCCACTGCCAGCCAATAGCCTTTACATTCGCAGTACAACAGTGTAACAGCATCTACGTACTTCGATAACAAAAATTCATCGTAGCATAAACGGGTCACTACCATAGATATAGGAATTTTCTTGTATCTATGCTAGTGACATGTTTATGCTCTTACAAGTCGTCTTGATCTATGATATTTGAAATAAATATTGCAAATAATAAATGTGTGCAAAATGTTTATCTACAAAAGCAACTCCTAGAGGTTTTTACTCATTTTTTTCAGGTTAATATGCCTTACGAATAATACGAGTATAACAAAAATTATAATATAGTATACGCCAGATATTCACATCAATGCCTGGTCTCAAACTAGGGAATTCCCTGTACTATGAGTACCCGAGCAACGGAATTATGGGCACTTCCCAGAACACACAGGCCAGAAACAATTGGGAAAAGTTAATTTCTCAAATTGGTCCTGCCGGGAATCGAACCCGAGACCTCTGCATCCAGCGACCACGATGTAAGCCGTTAGGCCACCGAGGTCGTCGAATAAATAGTAGAGTTTATTCAATGTGACGAGTTAAAGTATAATTTGTTCCCTTGTAATAGGTTATATTTTTAGTAGTAGCAGAGCTCCTTGTGAGCCAGTAATGTGAGCTTTACTGCGTTCTGATTGTACACATGAGACTTGACAACTATGTCTCAGGTTGAAGGGCGGTGCCCTTCAGGTCTTTGCGATTTAAAGCTCTAAGTGGCACTGCAACTGTTACGGACAGGCTTATAGCTTTTTTTTAATAACACACACACTCAATATAGACCCGCACTAGGGAAACCCTGTGTCGCGAGTGCCATAGACATACACATAGACAACCACAAATTACACCCAAACTCACGAGAGAAATAAATGTAGGCCATATAAATATTTATCCCGGCCCGGGAATCGAACCTGAAACCTCTGCGTGGCAGTCCAGGATGGTAACCGTTTGGCCAAGGTGGCAGTTAAAGGTAGTTAAAAACAAAACAAGAGGAGACCGTTATAATGGCGTATAATAAGTTTAATATGAAACTATTATATTTTGCACATTACACAGTAGTTGCAGTGCTACTTAGAGATTTAAATCGCAAAGACTTGAGGGGCACTGCCACTACGCCCGTCACACCAAGATGTAGTTGACAAGGCTCATGTATAAATATATAAATATACCCTTTTAACCTTTACTCTTCAATAACGGAAAACAGTAATGCTCATGCAACTGCTTGGTGACAGAAATAGGTACAGCGGCAGTACTTCCCTGGATGATCTCTTTCACAAAGAGCTCTAATGCTACTAAATATAGATAAATCTACTGCTATTTCAAACACAGCGGTGGCAACCGCTAGTTGTGCAATGCACGACGGGAGGTGAGCGAGCCAACAGCTCCAGCACCTATCTGGACGACAGGAAGGGTGATGAACTCCCGGGGGCGCTTATCCCCTGTCAGGACCTGACTGATTAGATCCCTGTGCGGGCTTGCTTGAGCAGGTAATAGTGCCCTTCTCGTATAACCAAAGATTGATAGAGAGGGACACTATGAACAAAGCTTAAATAAAGAGATATAAGACTGCTATTATAGATATAGAGAATTATTACAAGTAATTTAATACCTCTGTTCGTCCCCAGCCACTAACAACAAACTGCGTATCGCCTATCATAGGTCTTCCTCTCCATGTTAGTGGAATAGGCTGAATGGTGTTCGTAAATTCGATTGGGTCCACAGTCCGCATGACCGCCACATCCTTGTCGAAACGAGGATTGTCGTACTCCGGGTGGGGTATCACTTCGGCTATGGGAATTATTGTGCCGTTTTTCCGCCAAGTACTGCCGGCTCGCAGGACCACTGTTGTTGGATCTACACTAAAATGAAACAATTGTGTTTCTTCAACAAATTTTATAAAACAACATGGTCACAAAGAACTTAAATATCGACACGGAACGGCTCGCCGTATTTTGAGAACCTCGGTGACAAAATACTGACAAAGTTCCTCCTCTGCATATCTATACATTCAACTTGAGATATACTCAGAGAATATCTGGAGATAAGTTTAAAGAAAATGACATTGTTACACTTGCGTCAAAATGCATTCATGAAAATGTAATTTATGTTAAGAAAAAGTAAGGATAGACATACATTAATATGAGGAATGCAAATGAACTGACTGTCGACACAAAATCACAGATTTATTTAAGAGGCTATCTCTTCTGTAATCTAAGGCTATCTCTACTAGGCTAGGCTAGGCTATCGATCTTATACACTATTTATACACATATACTATTAAGTTTCCCAAAACTTCTCCGAGCTGGAATGAATAAGAGTAATTAACCTTAGCTTAGAGGAAGGGAGTCTGGTGATTCATCTGGTGAGTCATACAGGGTTAAAAATCCTAGTACAGATACCAGCCTCTCACAATGTGCATAACAGTAAACTCTGTATTTTAGTCCCAATATGTTTTCCGATACAATGAAGTCATCCTTATAAGGAACTGAGTACAGTATAAACTTAGTTTAATAGACTATTTTTTTAATGCTAATACTAATAGGTTCCAGTCACGGCTGACTGAAAAAATAGATGCAGATTAAATAGATTTGTGGACCAAAAAAATAGTGTCCTTATCAGTTCTATAAAAGGTAATTGTTACACAACGTCTGCGTATTTGGGTAACAAAAATTCATGATAGTGATAAGTATAGCTCTTTTAGGTTTATCATCATCAACAGCCAATCGCAGTCCACTGCTGGACATAGGCCTTTCCCAATGCGCGCCTTTTCGCCCGGTCCTCAGCTCGCCGCATCCATCTGTTGCCAGCAGCCTTTCGCAAATCGTCTCTCCATCTGACCAGAGGCCGTCCTACACTATGTTTGCCGAGCCGTGGTCTCCATTCAAGAACTGGCTTCCCACATTGGTTTCAGATTTATCGCGTGTATTTGTTTTTTCAAACAAACCAACGTTTCGGGACCTTTACAGGTCCAATGGTCACGATTGACTGAAAAACCAAATATATGCGATTTAAATCCGGAAAAATAGTTTCCTTCTCTATGTGTAACAATCGCGAAAACCTAAGAACTGTTTTAGGTTGTTTCTAAATAATAAATGTGCACAAGGCTGTATAAAGGGGAATCTGCCTTACGAATAATTTTAGACAAACTAGCTATCGATCTGTTAATTTGTCTAATTATTTCTAGTAAAACATGATATAACCGTAATATGTCGGATATAACCGTAAGCGAGACTGAGGGAAACACGCTTATCACTGATTTAGTCAGGAATTAAATAAGAAACGTTCGTGAATTGACCTATTCACTCTTCGTTGTCAATTCGTTCAGCTGGCGGTGAAATAATAACGCTAGTTGATTGCAATTAATTCGTTACCCACTTTTTACAGTAACTAGTGCGAAACAGGATTGTTGCGAATTTCGAAAGCATGCGCATACGCATCCGCGAATAATCTGCATAAATTAAAACATCCCCAAATTCTGAACGATTAAGCTAGCCAGGTCGATTGTTTTCATGCACATTGATTCTTTTGTTAATAAATGTCATAAAATATTGAAATAATAATTAGTACAATACCAATACACCATGTCACTTGGTGTATTTGTATTGTACTAAAACATTATTTCAGCTGCCAGAACATGTATATTTAAGAATTATTATTATTATTAGTTATCTGTCTAATTTAAATGAAAATGTTATGAATTTTTTAATTTCAATTTTTAAATGACTCATATAAATTTATTTGTTTCAGATAAGTCTAAGATTTACTTATTCTGTTATTTTTGTAAATGCTACTTAAGTACTACGTATTTCTCGTAGTTATTTCTATAGGGTGGCCCGGAAGTGATAGTCAAAGCGAAATGAGAAGGTAGTGTTGCGAATTTCCAATCGATTTGATTTCTACCTTGGGCCCCGGAAATGTATGGTTCGAAACTTATTCAACTTTTTGTTGTTTACGAAGGAACATTTCAAATGTAACAAATTTTTGTAACTTGTACTTTTACTATGTCGATGGCCCAGCGGTTTACATTGTGGGCGCTGGGTGTGAGAAGGTCCCAGGTTCAAGTCCCGGTAAGACCAATTCGGGAATTGACCGTTTTTAAATTGGTTATAGTCTGGGTAGTTTTTTTTTTTCGTTTATTTGTGGCAACAAACAGTCATACATGAAATAGTAATTATTTACATGTATTCCTCTTAAAATAGACCTATAGTTCCAGCAGATTATAAATAGATTACAATAAGAACGGCTGTAACATATCTTATAGAGTTATTTGTAATGATAACATTCTTGTTTTATGCGTTACTAGAGTTTTACATTAATATCATTAATTAATCTTTCTAAATTAAGTGAGCATGAGTAACAAAGTATAATATCATTGATTAAATATATAAGACAGAATTTAATAAGCGAACGGTAAATGAAGGAATTGCGTGTATATAATTTAGTAAATGGTGGGGGGACAAATAGTGGTCGTTTGCGAGAAGACCGCATAGGAAGGCGCACACGAGCAATGAAGCGTATCCTGCTTAGAAGCGCAGATGAATCAATTTCATTAATCAAAATTTTGTATAGCGAAACTAAGTCAGACATTTTACGTCTATTTTGAAGAGATAATAAAATATATTCTTTTAGGGATGCTTCGTAAGAATCACTCCTTATGTTACGACGGTAATTAAGTGATTTAACGAGCGTTTTTTGGAGCCTTTCTATTGTATTGATTTGAATTTGAAAATATGGATTCCACACAACGTTCCCGAAGTCCAAAATAGACCTGACGAAAGCGAAATATAAAATTTTAAGGATACTAGTTTTGTTAAATGGTTTACTGATTCTAAGTATGAATCCCAGTCTACGAAATGCAGAGCTTAATATGTGGTCTATGTGAAGATTAAATGACAATTTTGAGTCCATAATTATACCAAGGTCCCTGATGTTTTTTACTCTCTCAACAGACTTGTCTTTTAATTTATATTCGTAATCGATTATATGAGTTTTGCGCGTGTACGTAATTATGTTACATTTATTAATATTAAGGAATAGTTGGTTGGATTCACAATACTTATGTAGAGATTCCAAGTCTTTCTGCAATTGAATGCAGTCATTAGGTGATTTGATCACTTTAAAAAACTTAGAATCGTCAGCGTAAAGTAGATGATGACTATATTTGAGGCAGTAACCAATATCGTTTACATACAGAGAAAAGAGTAATGGTGCGATATGCGATCCCTGGAGAACACCTGAAGGTACTGGTAAAAACCGTGAACAGTATCCCTTTACGCAGACAGCTTGACTCCTGTTTGTGATGTAGAATTTGATCCATCTCAGAAGGTTGCCGTGCACACCGGCTCTCGTTAGCTTTTTGATAAGTATATCACGATTTATTTTATCAAAAGCCCTGGAAAAATCAGTGTACACGACATCCACCTGTGAATTATCATTAAGTGATTGCGACAGGTGCTCCACAAAAGTAATCATATTTGTATCAACGCTTCGTTTTTTAAAGAATCCATGTTGTTGTTCAGAGATGTAGTTTCGGTAAGCGAAGGACATCTGGGAGGTTACAATTTTTTCCAAAATTTTTCCTAAAACACAGAGTTTTAAAATCGGTCTGTATTCTGTGATATGATCTCGCATGGTGTTTTTTGGTGTAGGGGTAATAAGCGACCTCTTCCAAATTGCAGGGAATATACCGGATGCAATAGAGGCTCGAAAAATTAATAGAATGGGCAACGCGAGTTCTTTAGCGCAAGTAGATATAAAATAGGATGAATTTCATCAGAACCTGCACCCTTATGAATATTAACATGTTTGAGTTCCTTAAAGACCAAATCGTAATTTATATTTATCGAACTCATTTCTACGGTTGTTTCAAAACTGTTCAAGAGCAAGTCTTTTAATTCACTGTCTTGGGGTGATATAAAGACGGAGTTGAAATAATTGTTGAAAGCTTCACAAACCTCATTGCCATTAGTGATTGATTCGCCCTTATACATCATTCTTTCGGGAATGACAGAATTAGAGTTTTTTGATTTTACAAAAGACCAAAAGTATTTTGGATTTTCTGTGAACTTATTTTCGGAGAAGGAAATATAATTTTTATAAGTTTTTTGTTCTAATATCTTTAATCTCTTTCGTAGCATAGAAAAAGTACGGTAATCACTCAAATTGTCATAACGCTTCCATTTTTTGTGGTATTTACATTTTTCTGTCGAAAGTTTTATAAGAGGTTTTGTATACCAGGACGGGTAGTGTTGTTTATCATTTAAATTACAGCTAGGGACATGCTTACATATAAGGTTGTTAATAATTTCATAAAAGTAGCTTGTCATGGATTGTATGATGATTGTATGATGATAGTTCTGGGTAGCACCCTAGAATTGAGTTGTTCTAGTACTCGTTGTGCAGGAAATTTCCTAGTTTGAGACCAGGCATTTCGTGTGATTGTCTGACACATTATCAATTAAGCAATACGTCACACAGTCAGTAATTTATCTAGTCAATAACTTGTATAGACCTCGCGTACAATAATTGTAAATATATCGTTTTTGTTCTAACTGTAACCAAAATCTATTCTTATTTTGAAAATTCCACTTACTTCTGCGCACAATGAGCAGCAGTAAGAATATAATTCTCGCTCACGACGAACCCGCCACAGAAATAAGAGTTGTTGACGATGAAGGAGACCTGGTACGGGTGTTCCTCGATTGTTGTCTCCTGGCCTCCTACGATCCTGTCGTCGTTATCACCTGGTTGCCTCGTGTTAGGCAATTCGACGGGGAAAAAATCTGTAAAAAGCAAAAACATTAAAGACCCATTAACATATGATACAGTAGCTTGTGCGTTAGAAAAATGTTAAGAAACTGTAGCGAGAGTAGTTGTTACTCCTTTTTTTTTAATGATATCAAGTGACGGGACGAACAAGTCATGCCACCAGCGGCACGACTGTCCATAACAGTTACAGAACCACTCAGAGCTTTAAATGACAATGATCTAAGTGTACTGCAATTGCGCTCGTCACTCTGAAACATAAGTTGACAAGTCTCACGTGCCTGTAATTGCACCAACACCCTGGCCCTTTACCGAAAAACCGAAACGCAGTAATGCTCTCATCACTGTTTGGCGGCAGAAATAGGCGTCGCTGATTTGTGGAAAGGGCGAAAACGCCATTCCGAAAAATTTTTCAGGGGAGCATTGTTTAGTTTTTACTACAGATTTAAAGTGTTTACGTCCTGTTTTAAATTCAATTTTAAAACTTAAACTTAATAAAAACCAAAATTGAATTTTAAAACAGTCGTTAAAAAAATGGCGCTTTCGCCCTTTCTATAAAACACCGACGTATTTCTGGACGAACTCATTCACAAACTCTACTGCTATTAAACTTCAGATTAAAATCAACCTTAATATTTTGTAGACTAGGTGTCTTTACATAAGGCACTGCAACGTAAACAGTCGCAAGTACGTACATTTGATAATATTTACTACGGAGGTTGTGTACTTGCTGCTATACGGGTCATTATTCAATTGTCCTCTTGGAATTGGATTCAGAGTAGTCTTACGATCCTGTTACGTCTCGTCAAAGGTCTAAAGACTATTTGAATAATATGAAAACCTTTTTAACCGACTTGAAGTAAAGAAAATAGGTCTCAATTCAATTGCTGCTTTTTTGTGTATATGTTACGCAAATAATACGCAGTTACTTCGACATTTGAGAAACGATTTCGATGATACTTTTTTGGTTGGAAAGGAGGTACCTCGGTAGTAGTCTCATTCAAGTTTGAAGAAAATAATCCACCTCTAAAGGTGGCAAGTTAGAGATGAATCCAGTTTATTGGATTTCACCCATTTTCCGTTAACCGATTTCAATGAAATTTAGTAAATAGATGTAATTTCACAAACTTTTGAGGTCAGTTTTTTTTATTATTTATATTAAAACGAAACCTCCTCAAGCCTTCATCTTGTCTTAAAGACTTATTTCATGAAATTGAACAAATGATTAGAAGGCTACTGAAATGCCAGATCGAAGCTAAATTAATAATTCAATAGAATATTCTTTTGAGGACTAAAGGAATTCGTTAAAAATAGAGATTCTTTGTGGTTTTATAAAAGAGCCAATAGGAACTCGGTTTTGTTCATTTCTAAAGGTACAATAAACACTTACAATAATTACACGTTCCTTGAAATTTTCAGTTGTTTATTAATGTTGTTTACTTTGGGTAAAAACCCGGGTGGTTTGATTAGGTTTTAACTGCCCATGTCTGATTACGGCTGATCTGAACAGAGGCTAGGCGCCAGCACGATGACGTGACTGAGGATATCGCTGCATATTTGGCGTCACTTTTTTTTATTTATTGGGGTCAACAAACAGTTACACATTACAAATTGTACATAGCTATAACTAACAAATAGTGACTTAATGAGTAACCAACACCGTTAACCAAAGATTACTTAAAGAGTTTTCCGATTTTAGTAAATACTACTGCGCTCCTAATTTATTAGCGTCACTACTCACAACTAATACCAACACTAAATCTGGAGCACATATAGCCGTATAATTATGGAGATATACATATACAGATGCCCCTCCAATAGACACATCGATCGATGAGAGCATTTATGATAATATACATAGTTTTTTTATATACTATATAATGTAGAAATTTCGTCCAAGCCAATGCATCCACTAGAGAAAACATCCCGTAGATGTATGTACACGCATACACCAATACAACTATTTGTGCTAAATAATATCCACTAACTAATTGTGATAGATATCGTGTTTCTTTTGAAATAAGTAGAATTTGATCATTGAACTAAAAGTGCTTATAAGTAAATGCCCACTGGTTAAGGAACTTTATTTGTTAACTGATTTTTTAATTTATTAATAATCAACTTTTTGAAAATGCAAACGCATGTGTTAATAATATCAATGTCATTAAATGCATTATTAAACGAATTTTTTAGCCTATACAATGGCGATCGCTTGCCAGCATTGGTACGACATTTGTGAGTAGCAAACATGTGGACTTTGTTTGGGACTTTGTACGATATACTGTTAACAATATCAGAACAATCATATGTGTTATTGCATAAGTCATATATAGTCATGCAGTGTACATCTAATAAATTATATTTTTCAAGAAGTTGGTCGTATTTAATTGTATTACCCTTAGATCTATAGTTTACGCAACGTAGAATTTTTTTCTACACCCTCTCAATGTTACTTGTGTATTTTTTTGTAATAAGGATTTCGAATTGGCACAGCGTATTCTAATT